CTGTCAATACCATATTCATATATTTCGAAATAAATTAATTTTGTTTAGCAAAAAAATATATATATTTAAATTAATGTATTCATAAAATAAGTACCTTAAATACGTGAAGGAAATCTCTTTATGAGATGTTGAGAATCAGGGACTGAATCAAACGAGATCACATGCAAATATCCCGATCCAAAAGTTATGAGATAACACATTTTATGTTTTTTTTGTAAAATTATGGAGTAACTTAGTTCTTCTTCAGACAAACTGATGATTGCAAAATGGAAAGAAAGAAAAAACACAACAAGGCAACAAATAAATGGAAGATTGTTAGATCAACTGGTTTTTTTTCATTTTGTAGCTTCCTTGTTGACAAGGAGGTTTCTTCCTTTCGCTGCCTCTTGCAGGTCGGTTGTTGTTGACAGGGAGGCTTCTTCCTTTTGCCACCTCTTGCAGGTGGCTTGATTCGCACTAAACTTGGAACATAAGAGAAAAATGCTGGGTCAGTATACCTATTTGGAGCTTCTCCAAAATCAACTTTTTTGAAATATCCATCCTCTCTAATGATATAAGCTACGTTGCGCTCCATGGTCTTCTATGTCTTTATCAAAAACCACGGCTACTTCTTTCTCCTGGTCAACAAAGAAAAAGCCATAGTCAACCGAAAACTGGCAACGAAAGAGTGGATCCATATCAACCGCTAAGAACTTGCTCCATGACACCGCATCGGGCTCAATCTTTGTCGTAATCTAAATCGTCATCTCTAACTCCGGTGTCCGATGTAACACTGCAAGTTGCTCATCTCTGACACTAGATAGGGTCACCGTCTCTTCGAGATAAGAGTGAAACGGTAGAGGTAGACGCGGTCCAAATCTCTCCTTTGTAAAATCGAAACAGATCAAGAAATCAGGAATCTCTCTTGGCCCTCGTGTTGGTGCTGGTCGGATATTCTCTTGAGCAAACCAATAAGTATTTCCCTTCACAGATGCGCCGCGTGCATAAAACTCTATTTTCCAGTCCGAGAAGATAGTGATCTCCCTAGGTGGTTTAGAGTTGAAGTAGTATAGTTCATACTTAAGGTGGAGTACGGAAGTAGTGGAAGGTTGAACAAATCTCAAAATTTTGTATTTGTGGTTACTATTGTTGTATCCTAAGAGCATGATCAACCATTGTTGCTAAAGTTAGGGTGCTAAAATTATTTTATTATTTTTAACCTTAGCAACCCAATTTTTGAGGTGCTTAAAATGCTAAAATTAGCAACTAAAAGTTTGAGTTTCTAAGATTATTTGATTATTTAATTATTTTTAATCCTAAACAATTCATTAAAAAATCCACTAACAACTAACATTGATCATGCTCTAAAGGATACATATAGGTCATCTTTGAAGGGTCACAAGTTATTGGTTCGAACCACCGGGTGTGGCCCCAATATGGATAACAATAAACCGTCGGAGTGAAAGACTCCATATCTCCCAAAATCGGTTAGGGTAACGAGTTTACCTTGATGGTTTATTGATGGGTCAACGACGCCCTTGTGGAAATTGACGCTAATCGAATATAGCGTATTATTCATCACCATGACCAACTCATACTCCGCTGCTGCTTTTACTTGACCAAGGTGTCTCTTTGCAAGTCTCCGGTTTTTGGATAAAGCTTTCCACTTTTTGCAAACAAATCGAACCGCTCTCATAGATTTCAGCGGAAGTCTAGAGAGAACCTCATCTGCCAAATCCCTTAGAAGATCGGACAACATCTTCAATTCTTTTAAATCTCAACAAGGATCGATGGATGTATTGTTAGGTTAGAGCTTCACAAATATATTAAAAAAGCACAGAAACCCTAGCTTCAAAAAATTATTTTTAACATTATATATTTATAATTTTAAATAAAATAAAATT